ATGGGAGGGAGGTGGGGAGCACGGGGTGGGGGAGGCTGGGATGGGAGAAACAGGCAAAAAACTGTACTTGAAAAATAATAACTAAATAAAATTATTGAGAAAAAAATTTTATTGTAGCCCTGGCCAATGTGGCTCTGTTGATTGGGCATTGTCTGGCAAACCAAAAAAAGGTCACAGGTCTCATTCCTGGTCAGGACACATGCCTGGGTTGCAGACTTGTTCCCAGTTGGGGCTTATGGAAGAGCATCTGATCGATATTTCTCACATTGATGTTTCTTTCCCCCTGTAAACTTAGTGAGCATGTCCTTGGGTGCAGATAAAAAAAATCTTCATTGTAGCCAAATAAAATACAGGACATAATAGTTAAGACTCAGAAGTTATTCTTTTAAGTACTTTTCTGCACTCTTAATTATCTGTTTTCCAGTTGAGTATAAGATCTCACAGGTGTATTATAAGATATGACAGGAAGTGACACTTATTTAGAGGAAGTTGTCAGATGTACCAGTTCACAGTGATAAAGTAATTCTTGAAATCTCACAGAAAAAGTACAAATCTTTCATAGCTTTAATGACTGGTGAAAGTTACATTGCTCTACAGTTTTGACATATTTGTGCAACTTTCTGCATTTGTGTTTCCTGTTAAATAAAGTTTTTTAAGAAGGTGCACCATGTTCATAGTACTATAATTCAACAAGTAGGAATTTTGTTATTTATTAGTTGTAATGTGATTAATATCTGGGGTGACTGGAGGGTCATATGAAATCAGCAGCACAAGCACATATTTATTTTAAAAAACCCAGTTGATTTAAAGTTTAGAGCATCCTAAAATAAACCATGCATCCTCTGTTGTATTAAATTCATTGTCATTCAGATGTTTAATATTCCTTTTATTTTCTCTGGGGATAAGGAGTAAAAAAAATTACTCAGTTATTTTCCTGGAACAATATCAAAATTTGTGTCTGGCTTAACACATCTGACCTTACACTCCTCAGAGGAAGTGAACACATGTTCTGTGAGCAATCCCCTAGATAAACCTGCAGCCAAGCAAAGGAACAGTAAGATCAAATTCCAGTGTTTTTTCTCCACTGAAATAAAATGTAGAAATTACATTAAAAGGCCTCTACTCTTCATGGTCAGTTAGAGTCTGGTGGAGACCATCTAGGGAGAAGTTGACAGTGGAGGTGGTGGTGACCGAGTTGGAGAAAGAGTTGGTGATGTTGGAATTGTTGATGAGGATGTCTGGGTTGCGCCTGTGATATCCATTTTGAAAGTTGTGTTTCCAGCAGTAGTTACGCTCTTTCTGTCAATCCACCATTTGAAGGTGAGTAATAGTAGGTAACAGACTGGCCTTGGATCATTATTCTTCTTTCCAGTGTACAAAGCTAAGTACAAGATTTAGGGACTGTGACTCATGACCCTATTAGCAACATTTTCCCCTTAATGTTAAGAGCTCCTGAGTGAGAAAAAAAATCACTTGAGGGCTGTAGACAAATAAAAAGGAATTTTTTTGTTTAACTTAAAGAAAAAATAAAACATTCCATCTACTTGTTTTAAAAATTGTGAATTGGAAACAAAACTCTTTAGTGTAACTGCTGACCTTTGAAGGGAAACCATTCCCTGGGTTGTACCCGTAACAAATAGAATAGCATTACCCTTGGGCCAGATGAAACCCAGCCAAGAACTAACCAGGATCTTCTGTCTGAGATAGCCTAGCCTGTGCTCTCTCGCTACTTCTTGACCTTGACATTGTTGACATTATCATGCATCAGCCTATGGGGTGGGTGGGGGGGCCTGTCCTGTGCATTGTGAGATGTTTTAGCAGCATCCCTGGCCTCTATGCCCTGGATGCCAGTAGCACCCCACCTCCTCTAGTTGTGACAACCAAAAATGTCTTCTTCAGACGTTGCCAGCTGGGAGGGAAAATCAGGCCTGTGGGGCCCTCCCCCTACTCCATTGTACATTAGTGAGTGTGTGAAACAGTTATTCTTACATTATTATTTATCAATTATTGTATTATTCCATATGAACAACCATAGGCCTAGCTTTGCCCCACCCTGTGTATTAGGTGATTTGTTGATAAAGAATATTTTCTAGATTTTTGCTTTACTTTGAAATATTTTGTCATATTCCAAGTATTTTGGTGTAGAATAGGCTTTACTGTTAAAACTATAAAAATGAATGGGGAGCACATTTTCTAATTTGGGAGTAAAAGTGAGGACTCTCTTTCTTTGATTTGAGAATTGAACATCATGACCTTTGGGTGCCTAATACAGTGTTTTTCAGACTATTAGGTCAGGGCTCTTTAGTATGTCAGGAATAGAGAGCCAAGACCTGTACATGTTGGAGTGTATAGGGTTACAGTGTAAAAATAACAGAGAAGAGCATTTGAAAACTGGCCCACTGCATGTATGTAAGCCCAGCTTTCCCTTTTGCACTGGAATATTCTAAACATACACCTCATAGCAGTAGGTGTTAGGCCAGTCCAACTAAGCTATTTAGATAGTTAGGTTAAATTTACCAGATAGTTTTTGAAATATGAAACATTCAAAACTTGTTCAGTGCAGTAGATTTGAGATTTTCTTTTAACTTTGATTTTTGGTGTGCATGATATTGTTTGCAAGAGGAGGAAGCTCTGAACTCCATCACATATTTTAAAACGCTCTTGGCACGTTACTTGTGGACTGCTCGTGCCCTCCCCCTACACAAAATGCTGTTAAAAAGACAGTCCCATTTTGTTTTCTTCATCAGCATGCACATTCAATTCCTGTTTTTCAATAGTTAGTATTTATTGTGTTAACTTCCGTAGAAATGCTTCATGGAGGAAGACGCAAGAGATGTTTTCTGTATTTATTGAGACTCAAACATAATATGAACATAAAGACATCTAAAAAATTACTACTAACATTCTGCCTCTGCTTTCTATGATAATCATTTTAAAATCACAACCTTAAGTAACAGCCTATGGGGAATACATTAAACATAACAACCTGCCATTACTAAGTCAAGAATTCAGCTGTTAATGGGAAAGTCTGGGCTTTCTGAAATCCATCAACACTTCTAATCATTTAAGAAGCTGCCTTAGTTTCTGTTTACTAAAGAAAATGCATTTGTATTCTGAGTTATTTCATTTATTTAATGGCTACTTTTTAAAGATTGAAACACAGAAAGCATTTTTTATGTTCTCATTGGTAAAAGAACATCTTAGACTAGTTTCATGATGTTAGAAACTCTATCTTAGGATATCTGGTTTTTTTTTCCTTTGAAAAAATTTTAATGATTGTTTAAAAGTTATTTAAATTGCAGTTCATTTATTTTCACAGTGAAGATTGTATACCCCTATGTTTCCAATTTAGATGGCATCCAACAGAGATAGTCAAGGTATTTTTGTTACAGATTCAAGGGAGATTTGTTTTTTTTTCTGTCTGAGTTGTATAACATTCTAAGTTCTATATTTGCAGACTGTCAGTGGGTGTATTACAAAAACTCATGTGTTTATTTTATGGCGCCCTTACATATTATATTATTGAGTTGCTATGCCTAGTTCTCGTGTGTGGGATGAAAGCAGGTGTAGAAGATAGGTAAAGTTTCACGTTGATTAAAAAGCCGAGCTTTACCTGAGATGTGTTTATAAAGCCAGGTTGCTAGTACTGACTGAGCTTTAAAAGTAGACTAAGTAACAGTACTCACATGGATCTGAGAATTAAAATTTTTTACCAACAAAGGATTTGAAGTATTGTCATCAGAATCTAGGTATAGTTGTTTCTTCATTAAAGTTACTTTTGAGATGAGTTTAAAATTTTTTTGTTGGTTAATAAATATTTATTTTGCAAGTACTACTTTCTAGATGCCAGGTTAGGTTCTTATTCAAAGGCCTTTAAAGCTTTCACCTGTTGTAGTAAATGATACCAGCACTACATTGTTCTTAAAAATAATTCAAGATAATAGGAAATTCTATGACTGCCCTCTGTAATAGAAGGTTAAAACATAGCAATGTCCCTTTCAATATTGCTTTTTGTGTAAGTACTGAATTATTGCAAATGATTATTATTGATAGTTCTTTTGAAGGGGAAAATACTATCATTTTAAAAGGATGTCTTAATCTTCCTGTTAGAAAGAATTTATTTAAATCCTGTCATCAAGGAATGTTAAACTGTACAATTGGAGCAGCAGCTGGAACCTCTTAATCAATATTACATGCCTCCTGCTCAGTAAAATGACAAATTTTATAATAAAGGGAAGTATGCACATTTCTTTATTTTTACAAATAATATGTTGTTATCTGAGTTTCCATATCTAGTTTCTGAAAAAAATTTCTAGAGCAAATAATGCTGCTACAAACACATTTTTCCTAATCTTTAATAAGCATTTGATTTAATTTTTTCTTGCCATTTTGTAGGGAAACAATGAGGTTTTGGAGAAGGATTACTAAAAAGTAAAATTTCAGTAGTATATAAAATTAAACTTCAATAGCTATTGTTTAATGCCTCCAAGGAGTGCCTTGCATATGTAATATGGTCAGTAATTGTGTAACCTTTAGTATATGTTAAGTACTTTTAGAAATCATCTCACAGATTTTAGAAGGGTTTTGTGATATTTGTAAATAATAGATGAAGCCAATCACATACTTATTTATAGTTTACATTTACTTTAAACAATTACTGTGAATTGATACTCTTAAAGATTGGATTTGTGACTTGTATATATATAATTTCTTTTGAAAAATTGTGTGTACTTCTATTCCAATTCAGATTGAAAGGTTTTTTGAACTCATACATTATCAAGATAATCATTGATTATTTTGACCTAACCTGGCTTTTTTGGGGGTGCTGTGCATAGATATACTAAGAACTATGTCATCTGTTTTTTATCTTGTGTAAGGAGTATTAGTGGTATAAAATATCTAATATCATACATATTTTAAAATCTTCACATAATCTTAATTATATATAGTATAAGTTAAAGAGTAAGAATAATTTATTGTTCTTTTAACTCTTTTTAAAGGTGATGGATGTGGGCACACTGTACTAGGCCCTGAAAGTGGAACTCTTACGTCCATAAACTACCCACAGACCTATCCCAACAGCACCGTTTGTGAATGGGAGATTCGTGTAAAGATGGGAGAGAAAGTGCGCATCAAATTTGGTGACTTTGACATTGAAGATTCTGATTCTTGTCATCTTAATTACTTGAGAATTTATAATGGAATTGGAGTTAGCAGGACTGAAATAGGTAGGAAATTTTCTTGTGAATGTACATGTAATACATTATTGCCCCAAGTTTTAAAACTGAAGCAATTTTTGGTACTTAACCTTGAATAACTATGCTGTGTGGATGATACATGGGAAATTATTGAAAGCATGTGTGAAAATCTCAAATTTCAGTCTTTTGGGAAGAGAAGATTCTTGTCTCTTCATTTACTTTTCTTATAAGCCTGTGTTCTTACCTTCAAAACAAGATGCCACTTAATTTATTTCTAAGAAGGAAAAAGTTAATTATCTCACTTTTTTGTTTTTCTTTGTTTTATTTGCATTTAAAGAATACAATTATAATTCACACTTAAGAAGCAGTTTATCATTATCATTAAGGGCATGGGCTTTTTATCCAAACCTCATGGCATTTAATCCTAACTTTGCTGTTTCCTTGCTCTGTGGCCCTATGCAAGTTATCTGACCTCTCTGTTTCCTCACTTGTAAAATGGGAAATGAACTCATATGTGCTTAGAACAGTATATAACATACAACACATATGCTTAGTAAATGTTAGCTGTTATTGGTTTTACCCTTAGCTAGGAGCAGTGGTTCTCAATTATGGCTACATATTAGAGTCACCTGGAAAGACTTTGAAATAATACTTCGTATATACCTGATCCTTACCTTAGACCAGTTGAATCAAAATTGTTAGGGTGGGACCCAGGCTTCAGTATTTTAAAAGCATCCCAGGATCGTGTACTTTGACTTTTGGCTTAGAGAGCAGTACCATTCTTTTAAGCAAGAAATGTGGAAAATTTCGTAAGGTTGTTTTGGTAAATTATTGAATTCTTTGAGTTTGTTTGGAAACATTTATTCCAACAATTGTTTAAAGTATCTTTTTAGAACTATAATTGGAACCTTGTATCTTATTCTTTATGCGTCTTGTTCATCCTCTGCCTTCCTCTACATCAGTAATCAAATACTTTATCTCTTCTCTACTTTTTGGCCTCTTATCTACCAGAGGTACAATTTCTGTCCTGCTTCCCTGGCTGTTAATTGATAACCTCTATTGTCTCTGAGTCAACTCTTGATTAACCTGGTACCTTGATCACCATGTGCACATTGTCAAGAATATGTGGTATCGGATAAGCTTTTAGGACCTAGAAACCTGAGGTCCTAAATACCTGAGCACCTAGAAACACCAGTACTGTAACACTAATAGAAGGCAAGTGGATATCAAATGCCTCCTGAGGTGATGCAGTAGAGAGTAAGTAGTACCACATGAGCTGGCTTGAAACAACAATGAAAAAAGGTGAAACACAATGTGATCAAACATGTAACAGTTTACAGGTAATGGAGGAGGTAGAGAAACATATCATATCAATCCTAAAGCCTATATAGGCATGCTTTGGTTTACTGCACCTCACAGATGTTGCGGGTTTTTTTTTGGTCTGGTTTTTTGTTTACAAATTGAAAGCAAGAGTCGCTACTAGCAAAAAGTTTGTACTTACTTTAGGGCAATACTTGTTTATTGCACTGGTCTGGAACCAAACTTGCAATATTTCTGAGGTGTACCTGTATATAAATGGAATTTAAAAAAAAGAAAGGGGAGGACGTGGAAGGAACTGTCAAACATTGAGATGCCTCTTCCAAAAGTAATGTGTGCACCTTGATTGTATCTTAATTTAAGCTAACCAAATGAAAGAAGACATTTTTAAGATAGAGAAATTCTAAGAGGAATTGTATATTCAGTGATTGTCAAGAATGATTGCTTTTGGTGTGGTAAATGTTTTTTTTTTAGAGATCTAATTTGTTAGAGACATTCTGAGGTGAAATATCTTGGATTTGTTTTTAAATATTTCAGGGAGAAAAAGGAAGAAGGGCAGGTGACACACGAATGACAGGTAGATGAAGCTGATCCGTGGAAACACACACAGTTGTTACGCTCTCTTCTGCTTTCACAAACTGCATTTTGCTGTGTATAATGTGCACCCACATTTTTGTAAACATAACTGTTGTTTTACTCGTGGTCTGTAATCATTACACCCAGTATAATGCACATTTTTATTTTTCTCCCAAAAGTTTTGTTAAAAGAGTGTACATTACACACTGCAAAATACTGTCATTTTGAAAATTTCCATAATGAAAAGTTTTTTGAATAAAAGAAGAGGGTTATACACATATATTTGGACAATAATTAGTGTTGCTGGAGAGATTGAGTGTCATGAGAAAAATCTGAGCACAGACTTCGCTAGTGTAGCTCAGTGGATTGAGCACGGGCCTGCGAACCAAAGGATCGCAGTTTGATTCCCAGTCAGGGCACATGCCTGTTGCAGGCCAGTTCACAACAGGGGATGCACAAGAGGCAACCACACATTGATATATTGCTCTCCCTCTCCCCTCTCTCCTTCCCTTTCCCTCTAAACAGATAAGGTGCTTCTCAGATAAGATCAAATTCAAGGAGTTCATCATCACCAAGCCCTTATTACATGAAATGTTAAAGGGACTTATCTAAGAAAAAGAAGTTAAAGAAATATGAACAGTGAAAGGACAACAAACTCACAGTTATTAACAACCACACCTAAAACGAAAGCAAACTAAAAGGACAGCTAGATCAGGAGTGGAAACATAGAAATGAAGATCTCAAGGAGGGTTAGCAACAGGGGAGTGGGAGGAGGAGAAGAGGGGAGAAGGTACAGAAAATAAGTAGCATAGACAGTAGATAGAAAATAGAAGGAGGGCAAGAATAGCATGGGAAATATAGAATCTAAAGGACTTGAGACACATGGTCATAAACTAAAGGGGGGGTAATGGTGGGGATGGGGGGGTAGGGTGGAGGGGAATGAAAGGGGGAATAGAACAACTGTAACAGCATAATCAATAAAAAATTTTTTAAAAAAAGGAAATAAAATCTTAAAAAAAAAAAAATCTGAGCACAGGTTTTAAATCACTCACTAGGTTCTCATCATAGCTCCAGTACATACCAGGGTACATGCTAAAAGTCCTTTCTGCAAGTCATCATTGGCCCCGTCTGTAATTCAAAGGCATCATCTGTATTGTAGGAATATTAAATGCAATAATACTTGAAGTGCTGGGGATATAGTAGGTGTACAGTAAATCTCCGCTTTCTCTCATTTCCATTGTGTTTGGTTTTCCTTAGTCTCTCTTCACCTGGGCTAATAAAAAGCCGCAGAAAGGTGAAGGGCACTGAGTAATGATGGTTCCTGTTGGATTCAGTTTGCCCCCTCCCCATCACTTCCTCCTGTAGACCCCTGGTCCTCCATTGGGGTAGCAATGTATGGTCAGTGGGAGAAGGGTAACTAACTTGGCGTTGCACAGAAATAAGGATCATGTAAGAATAGTTGTTTAATGTTCTGGTGAATATAGGTATGCAGAGAATCACAGAAAAGAAACAAATACATGTGGGCATCAAGATTCCGGTGATAATAGTATGAATCTTCTTTTTCCTTTAACATCTTTTCTTAGTGCCCTTTTCAAAATGAGGCAGTCCCAAGCATATTGCATTTTCCCTATCAAAACAGTTCCCATTTTAAATGTAGATTTGGGACATTTTGTCTATAATTGTTAATTTTAGGGATTTTTTTCCTCCGAGAGACAATATTATGGAATAATGAAGAAAATGAGAGAGACAACAGTTTCTCAAGAAATTATTTCTTTAATCCTAAATTCACTAGAATGTTTTAACTGATAAGGTACTTTTGGTTACTTGGCAGTTGGATAGTTTTTTTCTGTTCTCTTAGAAATGTGTAATATTTTTAAATAAATGAGTTTATTATGATTTTATATAACTACATTCTAAATTGCTTAACCTTCCAGAAATCTTTGGGAAATTAACTCATTGTAGTGACACTCATTTCAATGACAGATAAGATTGGCTCCATAGAGTGGAATTCTGTTCCTTTTTAAGGTGGATTGTATGGAAATAAGAATATTTCATTGTGCCTTGAGTATTATTTTTTTATTATTCTTTAATTATTGGCATATGAGACATGGCAGTTGCTCCATAAAGATGGAAACTGAAGTAAAAAATCCATTTGCCATTATTTTTAACCTTTTTTTATAGATGCACATATATCTCCGAACTATTTTGCATGTTTTTTCTTTCAGTATTTAGACATTTTCATATTGCTCCGTAGACATCTGCTAATATCATTTCCCCATGGATATTTTTGACAATTAGCCCAAAGATAAAAACAAATATTTAAAAGCATTTGCTTATTTGTAACCTTCTCCTACTCTATGTATTTTCTTCCTATATTGTGCTTAAATTTTTCATTTTAAATGAACTTTTGGGGGAGACTTTCTAAAAAGAAGCTAAGTATCTTAAAGCCTAGTAGGTATTAAAGGAAAATACATTTTGTAGGAGAATAAATGTAAAAATATGTGTGTGTATTTATTCAACTATATTTAAAGATATGCATTCTGTCTTATACATACTTCATCGAGGGTAGCTTTTCAAGTTACATCTCTTAAATCCTCAGATGATATTTATAAAGAGGAAAACAGGGCCTTTGAGTATTTCATAAATGATTCCATGTGTCTTGCATTTGCAGTTTCACTTTCTGTATTGTTTGTCTCTTGTCTTTATAATGTGTTTAGGTCTTACTATTTTAATAGGAAAAAATAAATTTCTTTCTCTTTATCAGCAAACCTCTTTAAAAAGTTGTATTAATGAAAATATTACATACTTAATAATGATAATGATTGCTAACATTTTCTAAATTCTTACTCTGTAGAGCCTAGGCTGATGATGAAAATAACTTAGCATGAATGCAGTGCTTGCTATGCGTCAGGTACTATTCAAATCACTTTTATCAGTTAACTTATTTAGTCTTCACAAAAACCCTTGAGAGACTTCCGGCCAAGATGGAGGCATAAGTGGAAATACTGTACCTCATCCCACAACCAAATTTAAGGATAACAAAGATTTAGAAACAAAAACACAACCAAAACAGATAAAATTGAACTGTACTGAAGTCTGACAACAATGAACCATTCATCCAGACCAGTAAGAGGGGC